TTGCGACATCCACAAAAGAACGCAATTCGGTTGACGCACGAACTGAAAGTGGTTGCAGTTTGTGCCGCTAGGTGTCACGATTCGACACTATTCTGAGCCTGTATGCCACGTGGCGTGATTCGAGATTGGCTGATGACATTTTTCGGTTGTTTTTAAGCAATTTGGTGATGCCTGATAAAAAAGAACAGTTTTGCAGGAATTCTTTCTTTCTTTTAGGAAAAATTACGGCTGTAAATGTTTTGAAATGGTTGCACGAACGATCACGCCAAAGCGAAAAAAAGTCACTTTAAAAGGATGCTTTTTATACTTATTTTAGCTTTAATTACATACAAAAGCTATAAAGCTGATATTTTAAGTCTTTCAGATTATAAATTTTAGGAAAAAGCAAAATAAAACAAGTTAGGGTGCTAAATTTAATATTTTTGATAGTATATTCCTTGAAGCATTTCATGCACAATGGTGTTGTGCATTTTTTTGCATTAAGTTGTCGCCATTCTTCAAATCTTTTCTCTTCGAGAAGTGTGCATGCAGATATAGCACCGTATTTGACTTGTCGTTCCAGCTTTTAATACTCCAGTAAATGCAGTAAAAATAACCTCATAAACATATAGTTGCTTATTAGTCATTTCGACCCGAATCATGAATTTCCGTAGAGTTCGAAAAAAAATGAAATCATCAATTGATGGTATTCGCTGATCTCCAAAGAAACATTAATAGAGGATGAGAGCCATTTAAGGTTTAAACTATAATTCTTTAGTAAAAAGAAAATGTATTCGCCTTCCAAAAGAAAAGCCTAAGTTAAAATGAAAAGAAAAGAATAGAATAGGGTGAACGAAAAGACAACTATGAGATGTAAACAAATTAACTTTGAAAAGAAAATAATCTCAATTAACAGTTTATGTAGGAAAGAATCATCAGAAAATGAAAAACAAAGAAAAGAATCGACAAAAATAGAAGTAAAATAAATGAAAAGGAAGAAGAAAGAAAGTAAATGAAGAGAGAGATGAAAGAGAGAAATAGACAGACGGTGGGGGGAAACAATTGGATCAATGAATTGAAATAGGGAAGAAAGAAATTGTGAGAAAATGAAGAAACAATAATTAGTAAAAAGGACATTTTAATCAATGTGCTTGAAGATATATCAAAGGAAAAAAGAAGCAATGAAAAATAAAGAGAAAGAATTGAAAGATATATATAGATGGAAAAGACGGAAAGTATGAAGCAATAGAAGAAGAAGAAGAAGAAGAAGAAGAAGAAGAATCATCATCATCATCATCATCATCATCATCATCATCATCATCGTACCTTGAACAAAGCTGGAAATCAAGAAATTGTGTTCTCTAACTGGCCGTCCGGAAGGAAAACATGAAAACCTCGGGTGCGAGAGAGTGGTGACGATTTTGTCCAGGTCAAACAAAGGAATGTTTACCTGTAGGATATCACCGAAAGCAATCACATTCAACCTAGACGTGGACGTAGTAATAAAATGACATGAATAAATACACCTTGGGATACTTACACTGAAACAGACAATGGTGACGTTGCACTCTGATGAAATTTTATTCATTAATAAAACAAGTACTTGAATAGTTTTCGTCTCCATTTATCAATATTTTATTGTAACAAGGCTTAGTTTTTAAAGAAAACCAAACTGCTTAAATTTTAATTTCCATTTCATCTCTGCATCTATAGTTTGGGTTGCTCATAATTATATCATTAAGTCTCTGCATATTTTCTCAAACACTGATATACATTAGACAATTAATTTTGATTTCCTGTACGAAATTTTAAAATCTTCTGTTAACATTAGCTGGTATAACCTCCAAGACGTTTTTACGCAGATATGTCAGCAATGATATGAAGAGCATTTTACACACACACACACACACACACACACACACACACACACACACATATATATATATATATATATATATATATATATATATATATATATATGCGTGGCAAACTTTGATTTGTTCAAGGCCAGCCCGATCGTGAATGGTCTTCACAATATTTTACGTTAATTTTAATCATTTCATTATTTTTCTATAATTTAAAATGATTTTACATTTTTTAAAGAATAGCTCTTTCTGCTTACTCACTTCTTCAAAACTGTTCATACATTTTATGAAATACATGAGCTTCTTGATTATAATGCGAAATTTAATGCAAAAAGTTTGTATTAGTATCATTCAAAATATTTCTCTTTCTTGACTGAGTTGTTCATGATTATCTGATTAGAATATTAACTTGTAATGGTATATTAAAAATACGGGATATAAAATGTAAGAACCTTACGCACTTCATGGTTGTTAGTTAAAACTAGTAATCGATCCGAGGACAATGATTCAATTCTTACTGTAGAGCTAATCTTTGGGGGAATGTAGCGGATCGTTAGAATAAATATGAGCAATAACATTGATTGCTTCTCCATTGGATCTTTATAGCTGACAATGTCTGGTGATTGTTTTCAAAGATTGTATCAAAACAAGCCTTCCCAGATCGCTATTGATTTGGTCTGCCTTCGTGTTTAGTCTGGTTCGGCAGTGGTCTGGACAGTGTTCATTTTTCTTCAGATCTCAAATTCCTTTAATCTTAACGAGATGATCATTCAGATATTTCCAAGAGAGTCAATTATTATGCCTATGTTCATACCCACTTCGGGTGCATACGATATTTGATTTTGATATTTTGATTTTCATTCATATTCCTCCAGATAGGATAAAGATGTGAATATATATATATTTGTCATTTGTTCACTACACTTAGATTCTTGGGGTAGGGATGGGATTCTTATAACCTGATATGGATCAGTTATAATAAATTTCGGAAAAGAGGTAACCCAATTTATTATAGGGTAGTCTGTCCCTAAACAGATTCCACATTTATTTATGATATCTATATGTCTTTCTATTCGGAACAGAACGCTCAATTTGGTTATTATATTCCCAAAGTGTCTGCTGTTTAACCTGATATTTCTGCTTGTACAATTTGTCTAGGTCATGTTGAATTCAAGTTCTATCCATTTCTGATGTTATTCTGTCTCTAGAGTGTTCATTTTGTAACTGATGTTTTATTCAGCGGCTATGATGGATCATTTCCCTAACCTTAACCTTGTCCTGCTCTTTCCCGAACCGATCATACCCAAATGGAATTGATCGCTTTTCGGATAGTTAAGCAGATTGGAATTATCCTCAGCTTTTAACATCTGTAAAGGAATGTAAGATGATTGCCAGACATACATTCTTTATCATCTAGCGAAAATTCTGGTCTGAAAGAGCGCTAGAGAGGCATCATTGTATTGCAAAAATCAGATAATGGTTGTTTTTTGAAACGTTCAGAACGTATTCACGAATGAATTAAACTATTTTAAAATGCTTCTTTTTATGAAATTTTGTAAAATATTTTTTACAACTGTTAACTCCCACTTATTTAATTTTATGAAATTCGATTAATTATTTTTTGCAGCTCTTAATGCTTATATTAATTATAACGAGAAGTTATCGTAGAAGATAAATCATGAAATTCTATTGGGGAAACAGAATGCTTTAGTTACAGAAAATTTGGTCTGGAATCGTAAAAAAATGCAATAATACTATAACATTATTAGAAAAGCTTTTAATTGATTTTGTGTATAAAATATATGATTGACATTGTTATTGTCTTAAGAAAAAGTTCAACGAATAATCTATTTTTACAAAAATTGTTTCATTTGTTTTTAAAGTTTTAATTAGAATAATTTATAAATTTAAAAAAATGGATGTATTACTTTGTAGCGGTCAGTAGATTTTTAAGAGTATGTATTAATCATAAATGGAAAAGCTTAAAAAATTCAATGACCTCCAATATTTTTAAAACAATTTTAAATTTATTTTATGCATGTCCATAAACGTGTGCATTTTTGTAAATACAGATGTCTATGTGTGACTATATATATATATATATATATATATATATATATATATATATATATATAATGTATATAAATATAAATATATATATATATATATATGCAATTTTTTATATATTATTTATATATTATATATGCGCTGAACTTATTGGAAAGCGCTCAACATCAATGATAGAGCTAACATGTTTAGTTTCAGTTTGTCTGACGATCGCAAATACCGTGAAACTCAAGGTCACAAACTCACATCAATCCAACTAAATATATATATATATATATATATATATATATATGCGTAATGTATGCATGTGTGTGTATATATATATATATATATATATATATATATATATATATATATATATATATATATATATAGTTAGTTTAGTACAGTATTTTCAAGACATTTAATGTCCAGAATTTAGTAAGATGTATATACCTACGTATAGTCTCTATGCCCTACTTAGCGTATGAAAATCTTCAAGAAATTATCGGTACATCACTTGAATTATAAAACAAAGACCAGTAAAATATAACGTGTTTTTAGTTTCAGACGTGACCGAAATTTTGAGAAAATTCCAAGAAATTCCAAGATTCCATCCAGTCTTTATTATTGCTTCTTAAGATACTTTACATCAACTTGCCAACTTTTCCTTTTTTGTTGTTAGTTTTAGCATTTTTTTTATCCCTTAAACATTCATCTAAGAGGTTGGGATCTCTTTCATTATGATAAACTAAAAAAGAATTCTCATTGCATTAAATACAAATTCCTATTCATTTTTTTTTTCTTGCGCCTGTCTCATAAATTATTGTTACTACTTTTTTGGTTTTATAATTCCATTTTGTATTTATTATTCGCTTTGTTGTATTATCTTCTTTCCACGTCTGTTTCTTTTTTATCTCATCTTTTCTTTATCTTCTTAACCTTTTTTTTTTCATCGCTATTTCATTTTTATATTTCGTTTTTATTTTCGATTATTTATTCTGTTCTACTTTCTTACATTTTTTTTTTCTCTTCAACTGATTTTTACTAATTTCTACTTTTTAACTTCTGCCTTTTCTTTGTTCCTTCACTCTTTCTTTTTCCGTAATTATGCCACTTTCTTTTCCTCTTTTTCATCTTTCTTCCTTTCTTTGCTGCTTTCTTACCACTTTATTTTCACTTTTGTTTCATCCGCTTCCTTTATAATTTCTTTCTTATTGTTTCAATATTTCGTGTTTCCTCTTCTTATGTTCAATATATTTTTATCTACTATTTAACTTAGCTTTCTTGCTTTCTTTTTCACTATCATTTCATATTTTGTGCGTTTGTGTGTGTGTGTGATTGTGGGGGAGGGGCATTTACTGTTCTATTCTTCTTCTCATTTCCGACCGAGCCTCCTATCCATTGGCATCTCTTTCACTCTCATGTTTCTTTTTTTTTTCCTTTAGTTCTCTCATTTTTTTTTTTTTTGGTATTTTCCCATTATTCTTTCTCGGTGAGTTCTTATATTTTTGTAATGGCACGATACGATGTTTATTTTTTTGTCACTCCAGAATTCTTCACCTTCTTATTCGTCTTCCACAAGGAATTCACAAGCCACGAATTCCCGTCTCACCACCCGGTAGAAATCTTATCCAGCCCAGATTCCCTTGTTATCCAAACATAGACTGTCGACCTGGTTCTTTCATATGTGCAAATAGTCGAGACCAATCGATCACTGTGTCGGCTTCATTGTTTTCCTAGTTTCATATAGTCTTTCTTCGTGTCACGTTTCACTGCCTTTCTCTTTGGAGTTATCTCCCCTTGTGTTTTCTTTCCACGTTTCATTTACAGCCTTTGCAGCAACTCCGTTTCCCGTATTTTTCTGTTTATGTACACACACACACACACACACACATGCACATATATACAAAAAACTCACACACACACACACACACACACACACATATATATATATATATATATATATATATATATATATATATATATATACAATTATACATGCATATAAATACAAATGCAATATATACATTATACATAAATTAAATATCCACTTATCTTGTTACTACTCGAATTTCGAAGAGATTAGATACACTCTTCAGAGGATTTGATTTGTTTGTTTTCAGAAATCGTACTTATCGCTTTCTTCAGTTTTAGCTTAAAAGATCATAATTCATGACGTAAAATTATTTCAAATTGTTTATATGCATTGGATAATTATTTTTATATAATTTTAACTTACATTTTAAATCGACTTTCTAACTAATCAGTTACGAAAATTCAATTAAATTCTGAAATAAAATGAATCAATCCCGAGGCAATTGCAAACATAGTTTTTATTAATTATTTCACCCCAAGCAAGGCGGGAATGCCACTGATACACAGAGGATTACAGAGAGTAAAGGGGAGAGAAAAGACTGCGTATAGGAGGAAAAAGAAAGGATAAAAGATAGATGGCAATTGACGTTCCATTTAAATTTTTGTAGATTGCCGTTATCAGGGAAGCAAAGAAGCGGAAAACGTGTTCCACAGGTGGGAAGTGCGAAAAAGAAACTGCTGGAGTAGAAGTGGCGGTTACATTTAACTAATTCAACAGTAAAAGGGTGGGACTAAATGCCAATCTAGTATCACGTTTAAACTCACGTAGTCCGGCCACCAGGGGGAAAATGCTCTTCAGAGCAGTTGCCATGAAAATATTTGTAGAATAAACAGAGGGAAGTCACGTCACGTTGTGGTAAAAGTGACTGATGTCGGGATGCCATTTCAGGATGCCATTGCAGATCCTTCTTTGGATTTTGTCAAGAACCTTGAGATTAGTAGCAGGAGCACATGACCAAATATGACAACAGTATTCAATGCCCGGACGGATGTTAGATTTATAAATGTGCAAGATGCAGTCTGATGATAAAAACTTGGCACGACACAGTGACCCAACTTTCCTTGCAGTAGATGCAGCTATTGATTCGATGTAGTCGTTCCACTTCAAGTCAGTTGAAAACGTGAGGCCAAGAAGGTTCAGTATGTCGGTCTACATGAGTTTAGCATCAGTCATGATGATGGTGGGTAGGAAAGATTCTCTATGGTGGTTAAATGAGAGCAGTTTCGTTTCGGAGTCATTAAAATTTACGAGCCATTTCCTGACCCAGTTAACCACAGATTAGAGCTTCTTTTCAAGAACAGCGGCCAGGTTAACTTGCTATTGAGACAGGAGTAAAGTGTGATCAGCATAAATGCTTACTTGGGAATTGAGGATAGATCATTGATAGAGATCAGAAACAGTGTAAGACCCAAGATAGAATCTTGGAACATCTTCGTTCCTGTGAAAGGATCTGGAAGCGAACCCGTTGAAAACGGCATTCATTTCACGATTTGATAGGAAGTAATACCGCAGCCCTGGAAATTAGGTAGACCAGCATGCCAAACGCCTTCGCTCTATCTAGAGCCACAGCTTGAGCATCGCCATTATTATCAAGAGCTTAATATACATATTCAGTGATGGCTGTTAGCACATCAATGATAGACCTGGCAAAATGGAAGCCATATTGTTTTATCAGAGAGATTAGGTCGTGGAAGAAAAACGATTAACCACTTCAGCGTTGATTAAAACCTCGAATATTTTGCCGAAATAAGGTACGAAACTAATAGGATGATAGTTAGAGAGGTCAGAAGGTCCTCAAGAGTTCTTAAAAACAAGAACTACAGAGAAGGACTTCCAACAAGCTGGAAGGCGGGAAACAGCGAGGCAGTGGTTGCAGAGTTTGGAGAGAACTGGAGCCAGCTCGGGAGAACATTTATTTAAGACCATGGCTGGTATCCCAGCACTTCCAGTTGCCTTATGGGAGTTTAATTTAGAAATGATGTCTGAGACCAGTGACAGGATTATGTGCATATCACTCGGTAGAACCTCTGTCCTATTGGGGAAATCATGTGTGGGTACTTCAAATGAGTCGAGTGTTGAGTTGGAAGAGAATTTCCAAGCAAATCATTCAACCATATCCACTGTAGATGTCAGGACTTGATTGATTGAATAGAGGAAGGATTTAAGATTTGCTGTTGTTCAGCGCACTTTTGCAGAGCAGCCAGTAATCTATAATTACATAGACTGCTTACCTTAAAAATATTATATTCCAGAATAATGTTTCGAATATTTATTTACGAAGCACGATCCTTGTTGATATAAATAAATTATAAACATATATAAATTCATATAAATAAAAATAAATTCATATATATATATATATATATATATATATATATATATATATTACTTTAAACGTTATTATAGTGGAGACTTCGTATTCGCAATATACGATCCATTCTTATTTAACAAATTGTGTATTATGTCTATCGGCCTGTGCATTTGTGTAAAGAAAATGGATTTAATGACATTTAAAGTAATGAAAATTGTCGGATTAAAAATTAAATTCATTAATACTTTAAATATATATCATTCAACCACCAAAAAGTTGTTCTTAATATTCTATGAACTTACCCAAAAGCATCTTTATATTTTTGACTAGAAAATAACTGAAAATGAAATGAAATAAATGCGTGGAAGAATTCCTCGTAAGAACTTCATTAGTTTATCTTTTAATAAATGAACATGTGAAAACCCGTTATCATAGAGTTGTATGAATTTACATTAAACTTTTCTATTAAATGGCCATCTCTTCAATTACTACAGCGACTGCTGTAACACTCTGAATTAATAGTTTCGACAGTTTTCAGCAATTCGTAATACTGCTCTCCTTTAAAATCCCTGAAAAAGTTGGAAAATATGAATTCGTCTTGACAAGCGACAAGGCTTTATGTTGCGTAATATTACGCTGGGTGTGTCTGGTGAATGCTAACATTGTTAAAGCCTTGAAACGTTAACCCTGCTGAATTATTTAGTGCCCAGTATTTATAGTAAATACGGGTTGTTTTTAACATAGCTAGTCAGACACAAGATTACTTATATCAGGTAGCTGCTATCAAAAAGTGACATGCGAGAGTCGCTTGATATATATCGCATCGTGGTAGATTCACCATTGTTTATATTAATATACGTGTAAGAATATGTTTGAATATATTGCACAGCCGCCATTTTATTATTGAATCTATCCATACTTAACGCTCTTTTCTTTAAAGCTTTTGTGATATTTCTATTAGTTTTCTTCAAATCACGATGGAATTTTTTCAACATTTTTGGAATGTAGTGTATAGTATATTTAATAACATGTCTCAATTATTCCTTGCATTCCCTGCAGTCAGCCAAACGTCTCCCCCCAACCAACGCCATATGGACATGGCTTAAAATTTGATCTACATTATGTGTCTTTGTCTTCTTTATATTTTGCTGCATTTTTTCAAGTGTTTTAGAATGTAACTTCTAAAGTTACTTGTCTTTCTCGATCTGTTTCTCGTTTTTTTTTTTTTATCTTCTTCCAGTTTTTTGCTGCACTTTCTTTTTTAATCTCAAATATTCTTCTCATCTGTGTTATTTTTGTTCCACACTCTTTTCTTTGTTCTTTCGTTTTGTCTTTGGATCATGAGTTCTCTTCAGTTTTAAAGCAAAAAACAGCAAACACTTCGGACACAAAGGTAATGTTAGATTCCTTCTATTATCAAAAATATTGTATTGGTAATAATAATAATAATAATAATAATAATAATAAGAAGAAGAAGAAGAAGAAGAAGAAGAAGAAGAAGATGTTTGCCCACTGATTGACATTAGCGTATCAAATGAGAAAAAACATTTCTGCGAAGGTTTTTGAAAAACTAAGTAAATAAAGATGGAAATAGAAAAGAATATGACACTTAAAAGCTAAAATTGTTCCTGCTGTGGTTAGAGCTTTGGATCTGATAAAGAAAGAAACACAAGAAGAAATAAACAAAATTCCTTGTGGACTAATCTATAAAGGGAATTCAAATAATAGTTCTGACAAAAACAACACTTATCCTGCTAAGAGTTTTGTTTATAAATTGTTTGTATTAATAACTGTCTTTTGTTCAGTTAAATGGAAACAATAAAAAATGCAGATACAGTGTAACCCGGATGTAAGAGAGTTGTCGGGACCGGAGAAGAAGTCTCTTATATCCGGGTTTCTCTTATATCCGGGTTTGGTCTATTTTATATACATTAACACAGTCTCTAATTTGGGACCATATCTCTTATATCCGGGTTTCTCTTATATCCGGGTTTGGTCTATTTTATATACATTAACACAGTCTCTAATTTGGGACCATAGAAAATCTCTCTTATATCCGGGTTTCTCTTATATCCGGGTTTGGTCTATTTTATATACATTAACACAGTCTCTAATTTGGGACCATAGAAAATCTCTCTTATATCCGGGTTTCTCTTATATCCGGGTTTGGTCTATTTTATATACCTACATTAACACAGGCTCTAATTTGGGACCATAGAAAATCTCTCTTATATCCGGGTTTCTCTTATATCCGGGTTTGGTCTATTTTATATACATTAACACAGGCTCTAATTTGGGACCATAGAAAATCTCTCTTATATCCGGGTTTCTCTTATATCCGGGTTTGGTCTATTTTATATACATTAACACGGGCTCTAATTTGGGACCAGAGAAAATCTCTCTTATATCCGGGTTTCTCTTATATCCGGGTTTGGTCTATTTTATATACATTAACACAGGCTCTAATTTGGGACCATAGAAAATCTCTCTTATATCCGGGTTTCTCTTATATCCGGGCTTGGTCTATTTTATATACATTAACACAGGCTCTAATTTGGGACCAGAGAAAATCTCTCTTATATCCGGGTTTCTCTTATATCCGGGCTTGGTCTATTTTATATACATTAACACAGGCTCTAATTTGGGACCAGAGAAAATCTCTCTTATATCCGGGTCTCTTATATCCGGGTTACCCTGGCCATTGGTTATGAGCCGGCATGGAATTGGGAAACAAATGCAAATCAAATATATATATATTTTTTTTAAATAATTATAATTATAAATTGTCTGATGTTACACAAGGCATGGCTCATTGGGTCTACATCTCAATGTACCCTTTTATATTTCATATTTAGGTACGCTCTATCCCTGATATTGAGCATTTTAACTCATAAATATAGCATATGTTTTATCACACACACACACATACATGCATATACACTACATACATAGGCACACAAACGCATATATATATATATATATATGTGTGTGTGTGTGTGTGTGCGTGTGTTTGTATATATATGTGTGCGTGTATATATATATATATATATATATATATATATATATATAAAGATCATGAGTTGGAAGGTTTGTGAAAATCGGACCAAATGACCACACACCATTTTTTAATCCCTTCTTCGTCAGGTCGTGAACATTTCCTACATCCCTGGCATTATACAAATATTAATAAAGGTTTTCAACAATTCATCTAAATAAATGCTAAAGCGATATTCACTGCCAGATGGTATTAACATTATTTCTTATTATTATAAGTTCTAATCTCCTGATTTAGTTGATGTTACCCATCTGAGTTTTGAATTGCTATTTAATCCTATGTTTTTCTATTCTCCAGGGCATTTTCCTGTATTACGTTGATTACAATCAGCTGTCTGGTTAAATTTAAGTCCTTTGAATTGTTCCCACTCAATCACAGGTTCTCTCTCTCTCTCTCTCTCTCTCTCTCTCTCTCTCTCTCTCTCTCCAACCCCCACACACATTTAAAATTTGCTATATTTATATGGGAAGCGTGGTCAATATCGCAGATACGTTTATAGATAAAGACAACGTGAACATATAAATCAACATTTTATGTTATTATATATATAGGTCACTATGGGC